CTTTAAATGACACTTCGTCATTGAAAACACCTAAATAAGGTGACATTAGTATATGAACACATACACTTTGCACTTACTTCATGCTTATTTGGACACACAAACTCCAACGTATTCTCAGGGTTTATCACAGATCGATCTCTACAATGGTACAGAGGAGGTTCCTCGAGTCGTCTAACTGCGGCTAGGTGCTTCTCCTTAGCCGTCATTGGCGGAGGGTTAGGGGGGTGGAACCCACCGTTTGAAGTGCTCACGTGGATGTCTCCCTCTAAATCAATCGTCGAAAAAGAGGTACCTAGGATCAAACTTATCTGCACTGTCGATCCACTGGAAGAAAAAACACCTCTCATGGTCTTACACAACGTGATTCCAAAAAAATATTAGTAGCATACTTACACAAATAAAGAAAAAAGATAGTGGAAACAATTTCTTACATTAAAACGACTGCATGTGTAGAAGCACCGCGCCGCTGTGTCTGGATGTGTCGATTAAAAAACGTGGGCCGGAAAACCATAGTCACAGTTAGGGACAGGGAGGTCAGGAGGGACGGGGGCATCTTTGCTAGACGCGTCGGGGTATAATTCTCGAGGACGATCCCGTTTTCGCCAAAACTCCTCCCGATACATTTCTTGCATCTAACAAAACAGATGTAATTTAACAAACAAAAATCAAAACATCACAAATAAATGCCAATAAGAACCATAACTACAATACAACCAATTTCGTTCTAAGAACCGAAAGCAATTAACATTAAACCCTAAACCTAGGGTTTTCCATTTGATGCACAACAATTAACCCATAACATAACTACATGCGCTGCGGTTACCTAGGTTTGCTAGCTTTTCTACGCCTTGGCATCATCCTACGGTTGTATAATACAAATATTGAGGGATAGAATGAAACCCTAAGTAATGACGATTCGTAGGTTGAAAAATCCAACTAATATATACCGAATCGATGCGAAAAAAATTAGAAGGGGAGCGAGGATATCTTGCTCTCGAAGATCTACGGATCAAATCAAAGTTTGCAAGGTCCAATATGTCGATTCGTGAGGTAGGACGAGGTGGGGAGAGAAAAAACCCGAGAGGGAGGAGAAAGAAGAGGAAGAAGGCTCTGGCAGAAAAGTTAGGGCCAGGGTTAAAACACAAGCTCGGCGCCATTCACCTTGGTGCCAAGCTCGGCGCCAAGATCTACGGCGCCGAGCTTGGCGCCAGGGTGACTGGCGCCGAGCTTCCTGCCATGTCACCGCCACGTTGGCTTCGAGCCCAAGAGCTCGACGCCAGGGACGCTAGCGTCGAGCTAAGGGTCCAGATTCTGAAATCTTTCATGCAGGAGCATATTTGTGAAAAAATTTCAAAAAAGGGGCTAAAAAAAATCGGCACCTGCTACGGCATTGCGCTCGTCGGCACCCGTTGCTGGAGGATGACTCAGAAGAGCAATTTCAGAAGATTAGTATTCGAGATGACTTCAGTAGTCTCAGAAGAGTAGTATTCAATAGAAGATTAGTATTCGAGATGACTCGAGTAGTTTCAGAAGATTAGTATTCAATACGCTGTACTTGACTAAAAAAAACAAAGTGAATGAAAGTTTACTAAGTTGTTAAATTGCTCTATAAAGTTTAGACTTGTTTATCTTGTGAGATGCATGAGACTTATTACAGAATTCGGCACCTTGAACGCTCGGCTCCGGCAGTGGAAGGGAAGCTGCGGTGATAGGCCTGGGACCTACTGAGACAGTACAGAGCGACACTCTCTGTGGGACACATTTTAAACGCTAAAGCAGACCCTTTTAAGACCGTCTCCAACGGAGCGAACCCAAATACGGGACACATTTGTTCGTATAGGTCACGCATAGAGAAAAGCTAGCGTACCCAAAACTTCGCGTTTCCAACAACGGACGCAAAAGCTCCGGCGCCGTTCCCGGCGCCCTGGGCCGGAGCCGCCGCCGACGCTAGACCAGAGCCCGTCCAGACGCAGCCGAGGGCCAACCACCACGACGCCGCCAGATCCAGCCGGAGCACCACCGAATTCGGCGAAGAGATGGCCTAGGCAGCCACGACTGCACGCGACCTCCGGCGACCCGCGCGGAGTCCAGTCGCCGGAAGTACTACAGGGAGGCGAGCTCGGCCGCCACCACCAGATCCAGCCACCGGCGAACGGATCCAGCTGCCGAGCACGCGGATCCGTCCACATCCACCTCGCCCTGCACCACGGACGACGAGGAGGAGGACGCGGTGGAGCCAAAGGAGCCGCCGTCGTCGCACCTCCGCGCCGTTGGACCCGCAGCTACCGCCGCGCCACCGAGGAGCGCAGACCACAGATCCGGCCAAAGGGGCAGTGGATCCAGACCCCAAGGCCAAGGATCTGGCCGCAGCCACACCGGAACCGAGCCCGCCGGTTGGACCGCCGCCGCCCTCGCAGTAGCACGGACTGCTGGCCACAAGCTCTGGCGGCGGCAAGGCGATAGGGGAGATGGAGGGCCCTGGCGTGTCGGCGGAGCTCCTCCCTCTCTCTCTGCAGTGTTTTGCGTCGTCGAGAGGACGCTTTTTTGCCTTCCGATTCCATTGCTATGCAAAATGGCTGCCTTCTTTGCGTGCTCCGTTGGAACGTGTTTCGGGGACGCAAAACACTGTGCACGACGTAATTTTAGGTTTGGGTGGCCGTTTGCCTACGCTGTTGGAGTCGATCTAAGGGAGTATTTTTTTTTTCAAATTTCAAGAAGGCTGACTACGAACACTTTTCCATCTACCTTTGCCGGGCTACTGAGGAGGAAAAGCGGGAACTGAAGAAAGATGCCTTCTGGTTTTGGTATTCAGAGAGCTCTTTAAGTCTTGGCGTGAAGTTCCCCTAAAAAAAAGTCTTGGCTTGAAGTAGATTAGAAATGTGACCTCTGATAGCGCTTGCTTAGTTTTTCATGACAATTTGTTTTTGCATTATAAGAGAACTCCTTTTGATACTATCATGCTTTCCTCAACTTAGGCATGTATACCAAGCTCTTGTTTTGTCTTTATGTATTTAATTAAATTCAGAGATAAATCCATTGAGAGCCGCTATATATTTATTAATGTATCCTGTTATATTAGGTTCTAAATCATTTTGTTGTTATGTTTGTCTTATTCATGCTTGACTATCAATTTTAAAGAAGGAACAAAATGGTATATATAGATCTTGCTTACTCACTCCATTCCAAAAAAAAGTGTCGTTTTTTACTTTGATCATCTGTCTTATTCAAAAAAATTTATATAAATATCATATATTTTGTTATGACTTATTTTATCATTAAAGATAGTTTAATAATGATTTATTTATTTTATAATTTACATAATTTTTTTAAATAAAATGAACGGTCAAACACGATGTCTGAATGTAAAAAATGTCACTCTTTTCAGGACTGAGGGAGTATAAAGTGGTAGACTGGTACACTTGTAGCTACTTACGGACCACAACTGTTCTACAGGGTTGCATGTGCCCTTAGGAGTGACAGGAGGACGGCTACCTTTGGATGTACCTTCCTTCGGGACTGTCGACATCGATGGGGCCGTCACGCGGTGGTGACTAGAGGATGATGGGGAGCACTGAGATGAGTACACATGTATAACCCTAGCACTCACACGCTTTCGTCCACCATACAGCGCCCTGTTCCTGTTTATTTGGGCTCGTTTGGCTTGTAAGCCATGACTGAAAGCACTATTGGCTGATTTGGTGTGAGAGAAAAATATTATTCGTTGGTTGAAAAAGTACGGCTTATAAGCTAAATAAGTCCAAGCGAACAGAGTGATGTCTTTTATGTCAATCTTGCTTGAACTTTAAAATCCTCGTATGATGCGAGCCAGGTTGACGATACATGAATGCATCAAAAAAAAAATCTATTCTATCTTCTTGAATTATTGTTGTAGTCTGATTTTTTTCCTTGAACTTTAAAATCAGATATCTTATCCCCTTTAACTCTTAAAATCATTCAAATTGCCTCACCGGACTAGTTTGAAGTGATTTTGAAGGCGGATTTATCTTTCTTTAGTTAACAAATTTAGTAAATACTTGATAAGGTTTTTAAACCATAGAAAATATCTCTGAGTTTCTAAAATCTTTGAGAAAAATCATTGATATATACTGGAAAAAAAGAATCCAAATAAAATATTTAGACGTCATGAAAATATCTCTAGACACTTCAAAAATAGATTTAGTTATAGAAAAATAGAAAAGTATCTAAAAAAATCTAAAATTTCTCAAAACATTCAGCATCAATGTATGTCATGCTGGCCGTGTCTCATATTTTTCCTCATGCAAAGTTTTTAGAACATATTATATACGTTGACCAGAATGTTTTGTGAAGTTTCTATATTTTTCTCAACATTTTCCCATTTTCTAGAGCTAAATCTATTTTTTGAAGCTTTTAAAAATATTTTCACAAGCTCTAAATTTTTATTTGGATTTTTCGTATCCCAATCTATCCCTTTTTTTATTTTTTAGAAACTTGACATTTTATGTGATTTAAGAACCATATCAAATACTTATCAGAATTTTTTAAACTAAAAAAAAACAAAATCATCTTCGAAACAACTTTAAACCATGGCAGGGAGGTTTTGAGTTCAAGGGGCAAGATGTTCAGACTATTGCAATAGTTTAGGAAGGTAGAATGAACTTTTTCTGATGCATCCTCCTCTGAAAAAAGAAAGATCGGGCCAGTCAGCAAAACAAAATTCCCCTGCAGCTCAAACGCACGCTCGTAATGGCAAGAAGTATTCCAACCAATCATGCGCACTGCAGCAGCGTTCACGCACGCTCGCTCGCTCCACATCTGGCAGCAAATAGGTTAATAGCACCGATAGCGAAGATGCGTCGGGGGTTCTCATTTTTATAGAATGAACGGAATTCGGAAAAATGATAACCACCACCCCGTCAGACGTGCGTCCTGCTTCAGAAAGAGAAATCCAATCCACGGAACTTTGTGTAATAATAGGTATGCGAATGTAACGAAAACATATAGATAGACACACGCTACGTCTAAATGTTGATGCTCCAGTCGTAGTGTTGGTACAGGACTTTCAGTTGAGTGCTCGCGAGAAGTTCCAAGAGCTGCTCTGACTCTGTGGGCGCAAGATAGTTCGCAGCATGCTTCAGCACTTCCGTCTCGTTCTTACCAAAATCTGTGCTATACCTGTCATGCAGAACATAATATCTATCTGAGAAACTAATCATAAAAGCATTAGCTATATCATATCAAGACATCAACAGTAAATAAATAGCAGAACATGGATATAACCATGAAAAATTCTTAATGTATTTTTTAACATAAGTTATGATGTCCTCTGTCACTACAACATTAATTGAAATAGTTTCAGAGAGTATATCAAGCCATTTTGTTGTTGTTTGGGGTAGTAAATGGACTTCTTCCTAAATAAATTTGGGGCAATTGCAAATTTCGAAATTTATAACCGTAAATCCAAGCCTGCCACCATTAAACCGCAGAAATGACACTCGAACTTTCTGATAAATTTATTACCTATACTTGCCCAATTTCACGATACTGCATATCAGGTAAAGCTACTAAATGATTGTTTGCAGCTTGCACATTGTCTACCCAATAAAATAACCCATTTATGTTCATCCGGTAACAAATGGGTATGTTTTTCATTTTCAAACTCAAATAGATTAGCTGGTTCATCACGTGGAAGATGTTTAGTCCACTTTTTGAACTACATCCCCTTAATTTGTTGGCCCTTGCAAAGTTCCGCCCATAACCTGTGGTTGCATCCTGAAAAATAGCTGCACTCTGCTTGGAACAGAGGAGGATCCGGCGAGGCCAGAATCCAAATAGGTTGAGAAACTCTTTAGATTTGGAAAGATGCTGAGTCCAGCTTGAAAAAGTCTGCTATGCGATAGATTAGGGCAAGCAAGAAAGAAACTATTCTACACCCTTCTGATTGCCATTTCTCAACAGATCTAGTTTCTCTCTTCTAGCCCCACTACCCTTCTTTAATTTCCCACTATGGCAGTTACAGGCTAGACTGCCAGAGACACCCACACCTGCTGGTTTAAATCTTGCCAATCTTCTCAGAAAAGTGCCCCCAAAACGAAATCAGCACATAGAACCTGCTCATCATTGGGAACGGGAACTAACGGCCTCAGTTAAACATATAGAAGTGTTTTCAATTTTCTTTCACTAGTTTCCGTATCTCTTTATTATGCCTATCCACAACAAATTATATTATTTTGGAAGTGATGAAAACTAACTACTGACTATGATATGTAATCCAGAAACATCAAATCCTTTTGTTGGAGATCACACAAGTGGCCATGTACCATACAAGAGCTGCAATGTTAAAGTGATAGCTTTTTGGAGATTGTCCACCATATACTCAAACATAACCAATAACAAGGGCAGATCCAAGTAAACCATGAACAAGAAGGCATTAGTTGAGATCTATGTTACTCTCATGTTGGTCAACAAGATTAATTACAGCACTTAAAGAAAGGTTATTAACATAAAATTGATCATTGCCTATATTTCTTTTTTCTTAGCAAACATTAGCTATATTCCTGTAGTTATATAGTTGTCCTTGCATCTGAAGTAAACTTGTATCTTAAGTTATAAATAAAATTGGACACATCGACGCACTTGATTTTCCAAGTTTAGTATGGCGCACTACCAAAGTGAAAGCACTAAATTTATATTGTACTATGAGTAAGCAAGAACAACAGTCATCTTACCATTTCAAAATCTTGCTTGCAGATGCAATTTTGCCTTCAGGATCAACAATCAGTCCTCCATTCCTTAGGAAATCACGTGCAGCTTCCATCAATTCTTTATCAATATCTCCTGGCGAGTAACATCTAAGTGCAGGTCCAGATTTGGTGCCACATACCAAAGCAAAGTGAACAAGAGGTTCATGGTATGGAAGGGCCACCTGCAGTTACAACGAAGAAAATACAGTGAAAATATTTTCTCATCACAAATCTAGCTAACTTCTGGCTGGCATGTAGGACTCAGTAATTAGTCAGAATAGTGTTTATAATTAATGCTGAAATGTATCAGCAGTGTAGTTCTGCTATAATGTAGCAAGGGTTGTGGCCTTGTGGCTATGTATGCCTGTTTAGGCAAGTTGGTAAAGTTCTAGGCCTCCGGTGGATGCAACCACCTCTATTCTGGGAGTGTGAGCAGACAAATTCTATGACAATATGTTTTTACTTTCTTTGGCAAGTAGTGTATTTGAAATCTAAACTTTGTTAACAATACCTGCTGAACCTAACTATCTGACTTTCCAGAAACACAAAAAGGAATATCCTAATTACTATTTAAGGATACAATGGTTCGTTTGATGCGCTATCTATATTCCTTCTATCTGCTTCTGCAATCAACTACTAGAAACTCTTCTTGACAATACATATTCATTTTTTAGACGGAAATCAACAAACAAATAGCATTACATTGCATCAGTATGAAATTATATCAACTAGCAGTGGATTATTGATTTTTGCGTAGGGTGTCAAATCACGTGAAAACTAAAAGATGTCTATCTTTGCAAGAGAAAGAGAGGTTCTTTGTTGAATAGAACATTTTTTTGTTTTTCACGCAATTCATATATCAAACGACTTCGCTTAAACTTCCCTATCTAAGGAAAACTGCAGGTTGAACATATATCCAGTCTTGAAAAGAAATGCAAATTCTATAATGTCATAGTTCAAGCAAATTTCTGAACATCTATTTGGCGGCAAGGGTAGAATGAGACATTTTCATGGAACCAAAAAAAAAATTTGACACATACACCAAGAAAAACAAAGAGGATTCCAGGCACCAATGCGACTCTGGGGAAAAAGAAAGTGGGTGCAAACAGAGAACTATGTTTAGCTTTTTGAATGGGATCTGATATGTTCACCTTGGATCTTTGGTCTTTCTGCCCGAAAGGTTTGGCAATGTTGTATGGTGGCCTTTGGTTGGCACGTAGAATGCCATTTTGGATCACTGACAGTGAATAAGCACATCCACCAATGACATACTTAAAATCTCCAAAAAAGTTTCTTCTGTCCAGTGGTCCAGCAGGATGGCCACATGTCACTAATGCATGGATAGCCATCATATTGTAGAGATTTATGAAGAAAGCAAGCTTTTCTTCACGTGATAAATCATCAATTTCCACCCTCTGGAGCTCCTCAACTGTTCTAATATATCTATGTAGGAGAAATGAGAGTTAGTGCAATGCACCCATCATCATAACTGGGGACCCCAATCAGAAATACTAAGTAATATGTGTTCAAAAGAAAATTTCTATTTATGTATTTACAGCATAACATATAAAGAGACAAGCTCAAACAACGTATCAACGTCTACTCATTACATTATGAACCTATACACCTAAACATATGTATTAACTCAAAATCTGCCAGAAGTAGCCAGAAGTCCAGAACAACCAACAAAATATTATCGTTGTAGTATATGAAGGTAAACAAGACATGGATTATGCAGTATACTTTAAGCTTTGCAACTTAATCAAGTCTATGAGGCTAAGCACTAACCTTTTAAATTCCTCAGAACCTTGGATGCTTCTGTAGTCAACATGTCTACCATCCGTTGATACATAAGCTTCAAAAATGGCACAGGATAACAACCTCAGCCTTGATGCCACTTCAGCAATGGGCTTCGGTGCAACATCCATGATGCCCCTAGGGATGTTGTAGCATTGAGTCATAACTATGGGATCATGATCCAGGAAACGATATACATGGTTTCCATCTTCAAAGACATTTTCACTGCAGTGTCACCAAGTGTTTCAATATTAACAACCCAAATTGTCAACCAGTGCAGATGGATATAATAGAAATGCTAGTTTCAAAACTTACTCTACGACATGACGAAAGAAGTATTTTCTTGCAAGCTTCCTTCCAAATTCCACTGCCTACATGGATAACAGGAATCTATGAAAAAAAGTGGTAGCCATACAATTTCCAGTAGGCAAAAAAATGCTCGATTAAATGAAATATCCTTGCACAACATAATGGCATAAAACAAGTAACTTTTCCATCTATAGCTAAATAAAAACTAGTACCAAAATTAGATAAATCGAGAATAATGTTGTTCAAAAGCCATGTTGTAAGGTGTAACATGGCTTAAATAAAAGAGTAATTTTAACCTGCAGCATAGATGCTTTACCTCATCTCTCTCCAAATATTGATCTTCTGATATGAAATCCACAGCTTCACTACCAAGAAAGCAGTTGCTAAATCTTCTCATCTTATAGAATCTATCCTTAGGAGTGATTGACTCTCTCATTTTTCTGACAATGGTTGCCAACTCATCAATCTTCCCACTTCCTGATTCATCATCTTCTCCAGGTAAGGGGGGCAATGGAGCAGAAGATGAGGGTTCTTCATTGAACAGAACACCAATATTCTCATCAAGTATGCCAGAATCTTCCATTTTATTCAACTCAATTAACCCTCCAATTAGTAGGTCATTAAAGTACACTTTTGGTACAGTGGATGATCCAGTATTCTTCTCCAATTCCAACTTTCTACCAGGGAAGATGTCAATGTTAATCTCAACATACTTGAGCCTTTTCTGATGCAAAAATAGACGAACCATTTTGCAATCTTCACACCCCAGTTTTGTGTATATTATTATCCTACCCTTCAATGTTGGTGGCTCCAACAAAACAGGCACATTTTCATTCAATGCTTCCCCAGTTACAAAAGTATCAAAATCTCGGCCAATTTTAATGAAGTTCAGTGGGTTCCAAGCAGTCCTTTCCTCAGATTTCTGCTGCACCTCTTTAGGCTTGGATTCAGCATCTGTCCCGGTCTTCTCGCAGTCCATGCATTCTGAACCAAAAGTCTTGTCAGCTTCAACCTTAAATTCATTCTCGTCCTTTTTGCCAGAAAGGCGCCGCATAAATGTTGAAACTGCAATTGCACTCTTTTCTTTAACAAAATTTTTTATTGCAACAGCCCTGTCATTGAGTGCAGACCCCTGAGCCTCTGAGTCAAGTTCCACAGATTGATTGGAAGAACGCCTCATTTCTTCTATTTCAGGAACCTCAGTTCCATCAAACACTGGCTCTTCAGATTTGTCTTCATTAAGAATCTCTTTTGTGATCTCGTTTGAGCTTGCACATTCCATGACATCTGAGCTTGTCCTTTCATTCATTTGTCCATTTAAGCCCTTTTCTGAATCATCATCTCCCTCTTGGATCTGCACTTCTGATTCATTGTTTAATTTGACATTCGAGGAACTTGGTGCTTCTTCTACATTTAAAATTTCTGTTTTCCTTGACAAATCCCCTTCATCTTCACAATTTTGTCCAGGATTAGAAGACTCTTCTGTGACAGAAATTGTTTTGTCATCCTTGCCTGTACTCTCCATGATACAAAACAGCCTTTAGCAGGGCACCTGTGCAATCATCAAGACATGCAGTAAATTGTTAATATACAATATGACGAATGTAATGAACACATCTCAGGTATGAGAAGATATTGAGGATTATGGTACCCTACCACAGAAACTTTACGCAATTAGGGATGTTGGCATTTCCACGCGAATACCAACATATATGTTAAAAAACGGTATGCAAAATAAAACCAAACAGATGGGAAGCTACCCTTCCTAATTTAGGTCCCATGCAATTTTGCAATCCAAGCAGTCAGCATCTTGTACAAATCAGCAACTTACATGTGTAAGAGAAAGTTCATCAGTTTTAGTGGCACACACAAACTACATAATCCAGATCATTTTGGAACATCACCCCACCTCTTCCAATTGGTAAGAAGGAAAAACAGGACGGTCCAGCAAGAGCTACATAACGGGACATGGATACGCTCTCTCAGGGGTAAGATCACCACTGCTACTCACATTGAGGAGTTTGTCTCCCTTTGGATCAGAATCCAAAATGTCCAGCTAACCCCGGGCGTTTGAGACACCATAGTTTGGAAATGGACGGCCAATGGCTGCTACTCCACCCGATCAGCATACCGGATCCGGTTCAGCGCCTCCTATACAAGATTCTGGTATAGCCAAATCTGGAAAGCGCATGCAGAAAATAAATGCAAAGTTTTTGCTTGGATTATGGTTCAAGAAAAAATACCAACAGCGGACAATTTGCAAAAAAGAGGATGGCCACACCAGGAATATTGCGTCCTATGCAATGGTCCTTTGGAAACCGGTTTGCATTTGGCCCTCTTATGCCCTTTCGCCAAGGCGGTGTGGAACCAGGTACTGGTATGGGAAGATTTCGACACCCAGATCGCCAATACACAACCAGAACCAATGCACATAGATGATTGGTGGGACAAGGCCACGCAAAAGGTGCCCAAACTCCTCAATGTGTTGATCTACACAATATGGAACATTTGGAAGGAAAGGAATAGGCGAATATTCAACAACACTTCAGAGTCACCATTGCAGGTGGCCTCTAGAGTAAGGGAGGATATTGTGCAAAGAAAGAGAGCCAGCTTAGAGAGGGGATAAAGCCCACTTGTTGAGAATGGGGCCTTGACTGTGTTTTGTTTGCTCAGAAGGGCTATTTTCCTTGTACATAAAACTCTCTCTTCTCTATCTTAATTGAAGGGCAGAGCTCCTGCCGTTACGTTAAAAAAAAATGATGCAGAATAACCATCCAGTATCCTGAAGAATATGTGCACAGCTCAAAGATTGTGTACTACATGGTAAGAACTCAATCAATCCTCAAAAGCAGCAAGGACGCTTGGGCAGGTTCTCAACAGCACATCCTTAGAAAGGCGACTCAGATATCACACCACACATTTCAACTGCAGCAACTACACAGAAAAAATGCACAAAAATGTTGAAATTTCAACATGCCGTATTGAACAATAGGCCGTGGAGCCACCAAACCCTGGTTCATCACAAATTACCACCAAACTACTCACCTTAAATAATGCACTCAATCCAATATGTAACTAGATGATCAATCACGCATAAAAAGGGGCCAGAACAAGTATTATTATCCTACCAAAGAAGAACAGGAACCATGGCATGTTGCATTGATGGATGATCCATATGCATGAAGGTGGGAACATTTTACTGATAGAAACAGACTTTTTTTAAGGAAATAGAAACAGACTTGGAACTCACAAGGATGGCAAACTAGCTCCCAACATGAGTTGTGCCTCCATTGAATGGTTGAAACATTCCCCCACAAACCTCTCGCTTGTCTCGACCAAATCCCCCAACCCGAACAGGTTACATCATTAAAACGCCCAGATCAGCCGCTCATAATCGACAGCACACCATCACCTCACACACGAACGCTAAACATAAGGTCCCGCCCACGGGGTACACCGAGAGCACGAACATAAACCCTATAGGCTATAGGGAGAGAGAGAGAAATCCCCCAACTAAACTACATCCGCAGCAATCCGAGGAAGAATTTAAAAAAAAATCAAAGCAAATGACGACCATTCCACGCCACTGCTCCCAAAAAAATTCAAGCACACCAACCTGACGAAGAACGCCGGAGCAACAGGTCCCAAACTGAACCCCGAAGTCCACGAGCTGCGCGATTCAACAAATGGACCAAAACAAAATTAGATGGAAGAGGAATAGAACAAGCGGAGATTAATCGAGAAGGGAGCAAAGGGATGGAGAGGAAGGAACAAGGAAGCTGGGGGCGTACGCGAGTGCTAAAGCCGAGGATCCGAAATCCGTTTGCTCCCGAGCAGGGTTTGACTGGGAGGAAGGTGAGCAGGACTACAGGATGAGAGGTGAAGGAAACTGGGGAGCGGAGCGGCGGCGGAGTGGGAGGAGGCCGACCCGAGTCGACCGGGTGGCTGTAGGAAGCGGGAACCGCGGGGCGAGCGGAGAAACTGACGAGAGAAACGGGAGAAAGGGGCTGCCGGGCTGGGGACGTTTTCCAGTCACGTGGGTCTGCCTTCTGCCGATCGCGCCTGTCGAGTCCAGAGGATAGACGCGGACTTTTGACCGTGGCGGCCAACGTCAGGAGCTGTGGATTCTTCTGTCTGACTTGTATTAGTAAGGCTTTTACTGTTCACGCTGGAACGTTGTAAAAAAAAAAACACTGCTCCGGCTGAAAAAAAAAACCGAACAAGCTGGCTTGTTGCTCAGCCGAACACTGCCGCTATCCCCAACAACATCACTCAAAATATAAGACTCATTCGTTTTGGGTAGCGCTACAGGTAAAAGATTCAATACATATTCCGCATCTTTCTCCAACAACAGGATCTAAAAGAGAATCATTTCTATAAATGGGTTTCCAGGAGAGAGAATGCACATATTTAGGTTGTGCCTCTCAGGCAACCCAAAATAGGTCTCCTGTATATGTACTATGTTGGAGCTGATTTTGGGTCTCTTGCTACCAATTTTGGGTTTGGGTGCCTATATAGGTTTCTTGTTGGAGACCGTCTAATAAGGCTATCTCCGACACCCATTTGAAGACCTAAACCTAAAATGGGTCTCTCTTCTGGAGACCCATTTACAGAAAAGGTTTTTTTTATCTTGTTGTTGTAGAAGACCAAAAATAGATATTAAACTCTTTACCTATAGCGCAACCCAAACATGGAATGGGCCTTATATTTTAAATAACGGTTGTTAGAGACAGTCTAACTAGTGTAAAATGAATTCTCGTGTCCGCTAAACCTTGAAATGAAATATATAAACATCGATATAGATACTAGATGGATATGTTAGAACCTATTTTCATTAATTTTCTCTGTCTAATTATAAATAGATTTTGAAAAGATGATGGATATTCGATACCATCAATATTTGCATATTTGTGGATTATACTACTAGATGAAATTATATAAAAAAAGATATTTCATGATGGCTAGTTATATTAATTTTAATGTTAATGATTGTGTACTTATTGAAGATGCTCAAAAGTAATGACTAATAATATTAATTTTGTATTGTTATAATAATATATTATATAAATACAAATCTAATTAATTTCCAATATAATTAACATCATTAATTTTAATATGAATATTTATATAATTTTAATTAATATATGACCATAACATATAGTTGTTTTTAATAGTAGGCATTCAACTTATAAAGGTTAAAACTATTTAAAAGTAGTGTCAACATTAATTAAAAATTTGTGTTTTATTTTGACTATATACTATTTATTGCGAGGACCTTCCAATTCATCACACTAAATCAAGTTGTCCTTTGATCAACACTTGATTTAAAGCCATTAATCTGATCATCTCTAGAATTGCATCATCTGTACTATCTACTATGTGCAAATGCTTAGAATCCATTGCATTACATCAGCATTCATAACTCACACACCAGTTTTACTTAACAAAAAAGTAGTTAGGTTACATGGTAAGTTGTTCAGCACAATTAAATTCATATAGTCTTGCAACAAAAGTGTATTAGTGTAATAATTTCATAAAGTGCACCTCATGAGCCATGCCACATCCATTGTTATCCCTCTTCTATAGACCGTTCTCCTACTCCCAGTCGACTGAAGGCTCGAGAGCATTGCCAAAATCGAGGCCATAGCACCCAAAACCTAAATGTATCACCATAAGTATATGAATGTACTCAAGACTTACTCAGAGGTAGATGATCTAGTGGTGGGGCAGGAGGGGTTCGAGCCCTCTTGAAGCCCCCCTCACCCTAGTTTTTGCTATGACTGTTTAAACATTCACTACCGGAAACAGTGGCTTTGCCGTGTGCCACAGGCACTCGGCAAAGCCCACAAAACACTCGACAAAGGATTTGCCGAGTGTAACACTCGGCAAACAGCACACGGCATCTATAGTACCGGCAAATGTCTCTTTGCCGAGTGTTTTCTATCGGGCACTCGGCAAATACTTTGCCGAGAGCTGAAACCGACGCTCGGCAAAAAAAAGTAACGCGACGGCGCAGAGACGGTCACGGCGCCTTTGCCGAGTGTCCCGGACCTGACACTCGGCAAACCTGCCATCTTTGCCGAGTGTCAAATCTTGGGCACTCAGCAAACCTGAATTCTTTGCCAAGTGTCAAATACTGGACACTCGACAAAGACTGGCCCAGAACGTACAAATGTTGGCTTCTTTGTCGAGTGTCTAGTATCTGACACTCGGCAAACATGCCTTCTTTACCGAGTGTCAAATCCTGGGCACTCGGCAAACCTGCCATCTTTGTCGAGTGTCAAATACTGGACACTCGGCAAAGACTGGCCCAGAACGTATAAATATTGACTTCTTTATCGAGTGTCACAGCGTAGACACTCGACAAAGAAGCCATTTTAGTCCCAGAATACACAGATTTTGGCCACGTGTCCTCTTTACCGAGTGTTTTTACCCTGGCACTCGGCAAAATGCCTCTTTGTCGAGTGTAACACTCGGCAAAGCGACCATATATCCCCTGTTTTTATTGTTCGGTCACGTATAACG